CGCGCGTTCATGTCAGAATCCTACCGAAAACCGTGTGTTTGCAAGCATTTCAACATAAAAACATAAAAAACCCAATGCTTTTTCACAAAAATGCTTTGGGGTGTCCTGTCAGACCGTCGGGCTTCCTCCGGCCACCTCTGGCTTCCTGCGGTGTACCGGGCCATTCTCGACTCGTCTGGCAATGCGTGCGCGGCATTCAACACACGCTCGCCAGTTCCCGTCGGCAACCGCCATCGCGGCCGCATCAGCTGTACCAAACCGGCTGGCCGGTGTGACTTCGGCCCCCAGTTGTGCCAGCTTTGCTTCTTTTGTTGTGGGAGGGCGGGGGGACTGGGCATGCCATGCTTGACTCGCTCGAGCTGGCTAGCTTGACTCCTACTCCTACTCCTACTCCTATCCTTATTCTTTATTAGAATATACTCCTACTCCCCCCTCAGGCCGGCAGATAGCGGGCGCATCCGGGTGGTCCCATCCTAACCTGTAAAAAACAATACAAAATCAACATTTTTCTTATTTTTTCCTCTCGACATGGACGTCCTGTCGTCCACGGCGATAATCCATTGCAAAAAATACCACAAAGAGCACACGCGCGCGTTCATGTCAGAATCCTACCGAACACCGTGTGTTTGCAAGCATTTCAACATAAAAACATCAAAAACCCAATGCTTTTTCACAAAAAATTGTACAAATTTCCCGCCCGGGCTCTCTTGCTGAAATCATAGGAAAACCATAGGAATCTTAAGAATTCTGTCAAATCCAGCGATTTCACGTCATCGCGCGGTGCACTCGCGATGCTCTGTCATGCACCCAGACCGCGAATCCTGTGCAACAAATACCACAAAGAGCACACTCGCGCGTTCATGTCAGAATCCTACCGAACACCGTGTGTTTGCAAGCATTTCAACATAAAAACATCAAACACCCAATGCTTTTTCACAAAAATGCTTTGGGGTGTCCTGTCAGACCGTCGGGCTTCCTCCGGCCACCTCTGGCTTCCTGCGGTGTACCAGGCCATTCTCGACTCGTCTGGCAATGCGTGCGCGGCATTCAACACGCGCTCGCCAGTTCCCGTCGGCAACCGCCATCGCGGCGGCCGCATCAGCTGTACCAAACCGGCTGGCCGGTGTGACTTCGGCCCCCAGTTGTGCCAGCTTTGCTTCTTATGTTGTGGGAGGGCGGGTGGATGGGGGTGGTGGTGGGGACATGGGATGCCTAATTGCTTGATTCGCTCGAAGCTGGCTTTAGCTTGACTTCCTACTCCTACTCCTACTCCTACTCCTACTCCTACTCCTACTCCTATTCCTGCTCCTACGCCTACTCCTACTCCTACTCCTACTCCTACTCCTACTCCTACTCCTACTACTACTACTACTACTACTACTACTACTACTACTACTACTACTACTACTACTGCGGAACAGGGCCGCCGGCCCTGTTCCGCCAGCCCTCTTCCGCCGAGGCCCTGTTCCGCCGAGGCCCTCTTCCGACTTGCCCTGTTCTGGCCCGCCCTCTTCCGCCGCGGCCCTGTTCCGACCGGCCCTCTTCCGCCGAGGCCCTGTTCCGCCCAGGCCCTGTTCCGCCGGCCCTGTTCCGACCGGCCCTGTTCCGCCGCGCGAAAGTCCCAGGCGCCGGGACTGCGCGCCCCTCTGGCGGCGGAACGGGGCCGGGGCGGAACCGGGCGGGTCCGAACCGGGCGGGTCGGAACCGGGCTTGGTCGGAATTACCGGGCCTGGTCGGAACCGGGCCTGGTCGGAACTGGGCGGGTCGGAACCGGGCGTCGGCGGAACCGGGCGGGTCGGAACCGGGCCTGGTCGGAACAGGGTCTGTGTCCACATTCTCATTCATCACCGTAACCGTTTCGAAGGCGTGTCAGTTCCAAGGCGTAATCAACATCGTAATCATCATAATCAACATCGTAATCAAGATCGCAATCGCATCATCAGCAACATCATTGCCTGATTCGTCCTGCTCCTCCCCAGCCGCGCGCTGCGCACCTCGAGGCACTTGGTGAGGGCCTCGATCGCGCCCTGGTTGTTCCTGTTGGCCACCTCGCGCCACTCGCCGCAGGAGGGGGGGGGGAATAAGGAGAACGAGGGAAAAGAGGAGGCGAGGGGGGAGGTGGAGGAGAAGGAGGGGGAGGAGGAGGAGGAGGAGGAGGGGGAGGAGGAGGAGAAGGAGGAGGAGGAGGAGGAAGAGGAGGAGGAGAGGGAGGAGGACGGGGGGAAGAGGGGCAATAAAAAAGGGGAAAAAAAAAAGCGGGGAAAAACCGGGGGTACGGAGGAATGAGGCAGGATGGGAGGATGATGAGAGAGGAAAAGGGGGTGGCGGGAGGACCTCGTTCCCTGCGATAAGATGATAGATGAGGTGTTCGAAGGCTGGGGGCCCCTGAGGTCCCTGCCCTCATGTGAAGCCACGGCGGTTGGCCGTGATAATGCAGGAGCGCTGTGCGACAGCTTCTGGGGCCAGCCACTGGCGTGATAGCGTCCAGGGGCTTTTTTTGGTGCGACGTCTGGGCATCGCACGACCGCGTGAGGGCGTCTCCAGTGCGCGTGTTGCACGGTTCCGTGCGAGCGCCCACGTCCCGTGCGTGTGAGCGTGCGCGCCGGACGCTCGGGGAGGAAGGCCACTGTGCGGGGGAGCCTTCGCCAAAGAATCGTGCTCTCCCGCCTCTCCTGCCGCGCGCGCACGAAGCTCGGGGCCGGCCCTCGCGCGGCCTGAGCAGTGACGTTGACAGATCGGACTTGGCGACGCCTTCTGTGGCCCTGGCGACGCTTCCGCAGCACACGCTGCTGTTACCCCCAGCTCCTCCTGGCCCTGGCAGGCGGCGGCGCGACGTGTACTGTCGTGGCCTGGTGGTGTTTGAGTGTCTTTTGATGGGTCTCTGACTGCGCGCCTCCTGCTACTGTTTGAGTGTCTTTTGATGGGTCTCTGACTGCGCGCCTCCTGCTACTGCTTCCGCCACTCCTCCTCCTCCTCCTCCTCCTCCTCCTCCTCCTCCTCCTCCTTTCCTTTTCCTTGTACGTAACTTCTCCGTGTCGCACCCCGAAGCCAGTTTTTGGGGCGGTCCGGCGTTTCGCCTGAGACTTCCTCACCACTGATGACCCGTAAGAATTGGCAGCAACTTCACAGATGGAGGGCGGGCCGTTTTCAAAATGGGGCTCTCGCCCAAGCGCCGCGCACATTCGTTCTAAACATGTGAAAGAGCTCCACGCATTGATGGCGGATCCTTTTCAAAATGTGGCTCTCGCCCAAGCGCCGCGCACATTCGTTTCAAACATTTGCTAGAGTTTTACGGATTGAGGTCGGTTCCTCTTCGAAATGCGGCTCTCGCCTAAGCGCCGCGCACATTCGTTTTAAACATGTGCTAGAGTTTCACGGATTGATGGCGGTTCCTTTTCAAAATGCGGCTCTCGCTTCAAAATGCGGCTCTCGCCTAAGCGCCGCGCACATTCGTTTTAAACATGTGCTAGAGTTTCACGGATTGCTGGCGGTTCCTTTTCAAAATGCGGCTCTCGCCTAAGCGCCGAGCACACTTGGCTTTTAGTTTACAAAAGTTCTGCGAATTCCCATGATCAGCGTACCAGAGATCGTGTTTGGGAAGGATTCAAAATTGTGAGGGCGTAACAGTTACGTTGATTCGCGGTGTTGACGTCCCAGGAATGGCGTTCTGGCACGTTTCAGGATCGTCAAGACGCAATAGTCAGGTTGATCCGTGGCGTTGGACTCTCGAGAACGATGTTTTGGCATGCGTCAGGGTGGTCAAACGGCAACCTTCCAACGAGGCAATTCTCTCAGCGGAAATGAGCCCTTGTGAGGGCCAATGAAAAGGCAGCCTGGAGGGAGGTTGTATTCCAACATCATTGGTGACTCTTGGGTCTGCACTGATCCTCCTCCTCCTCCATCTTCCCTTCTCCTTCCCTCCTCCTCCTCCTCCTCCTCCTCGTCTCCATCCTACTCTCTCCTCCTCCTCCCTCCTCCTCCTCCTCCTCCTCCTCCTCCTCCCTCCTCCTCCTCCCCTTTTCCTATCCTCCTCCTCCTCCTCCTCCTCCTCCTCCTCCTCCCATTTCTCCTCCTCCTCCTCCTCCTCCCTCCTCCTGCCCTCCCTCCCCCCTCCTCCCCCCTGCTCCTCCTCTCTCCTCCTCCTCCTCCTCCTCCTCCTCCTCCTCCTCCTCCTCTGGCTCCCTCCTCCTCCTTCCCTCCTCCCTCCCCCCTCTCCTCCTCCCCCTCCTCTCCTCCCCCCTCCTCCTCCTCCTCCTCCCCCTCCTCCTCCTCCTCCTCCTCACCTCCTCTTCTCCTACTCCTCCTCCTCTCCTCCTCCTCCTCCTCCTCCTCCTCCTCCTCCTCCTCTCTTCCCCTGCCCCTTGTTTATCTTCCGGAGCCGAAGCGGGCGCGCGGCCTGCGCGAGCGCCCACACCGCTGCCCATCTGACCTCGCGGGCTCCGTCGGCCGAGGGGGGGGGCTCATCCTGACTGCGCTGCCGCTGCCGCTGCCGCTCCTTCACTTCCTCCTCC